TCCCCGGAGCACCCTCCTGCACCCCAACCCCTCATCCCCAGCCCACACCCCCAGTTGGAGCCCTCACACCCCTGCATCCCAACCCTCTGCCCCAGCCCTGAGCTCCCTCCCACACTCCAAACCCCTCAGCCCCACCCCAAGCATATGAATTTTGTTATGTGCACCAATATGGAGGTGATGTGTCACACATCACCTCCATATTGGTGCACATAACAAAATTCATTCTGCACATGGGTGGGAAAAATTAGAGGGAATACTGGCTGTGAGTGAATGGAACATGCACAATGCAGACAGAGCCTTTAGAAAATTTACTCTAGCAAGTCTCTGCTGAGCATTTGCAAACTGCACTTTTTCAGAGGCTTGTAACTTGGGCAAATTTTCATCAGGATGGCAAAAGATATATCTCTGAGAGCAGGGCAACCCATCTGCCAAATTTCAAGTCTCTGTTTCAAAGCATGGAGGCACTGTAGCTTCTCATTGAAACAATTGTCAGATTTTTTTTTAACTGACAAAACAGCATATTTTCCCCTAACCTCATTTTTAGACACAGCAGAACCATTTTAGTTGAAACTTTCCCAAAAAATTCAGCTTGAGGCAGACAGGGGGCATGGAAGATTTCAGCCAAAACAGTTGAAGTTTGGCAAAGTTATAAACAACTGAAAACAGGGACATATAATGGAAAATATTGGACAACCTTGACTATAGGTGTCACTACTTCCATTGCCTATAACCAACAACATGAGTTTAGTTTATGATGTAAGCCTTTAAAGCCCCTTTAACCCACAATGAGTAGATAAAAACAAAATCATCACGAACTTATATATTTTTAATATTAAAAATTTATATAATATAGATGTTAAAGTATCTTTGGCCCAAACTACCAGTAAATATTTGTCAATTTCTTCCATGTTATAGAATACATTTCCTTTAGATTTGTACATAAGCACCTAACTAGGGTTCTAGGTGGCTGTCAGGACGGCCACCACCAATGCACTCCCTAATGATTTCAGGATAACCCTGCAAGCAGCTCTTGCTTCGTTTTCCCTCTTCTGGTGTCACCGCTTTTCAGGGGCTGATCTCCTGTCCACATTTTTCCACCATATGTGATAGAGGGGTTCCACCTGGGTTGCCCTTCTATGTCAGGCTGTGGCATGCCCAGTGTGCCTGCCTCAGTTTCCCCTTCAGCGGTTCCCAGTAACTCAGTACAGCTTAGTATATAAGTCGACCTTTGCAGGGTTAATTTATTATAAAAGTCCCACAACCACAGTCCAGAACCCCCAGCACAATCCAAAAGTACATCACCGTCAACAGTCCCCAGCAGTTCATCGACAATCCAAGTACAACTCCAGCACCTTTCACAACAGTCTGCAGCTCTCTTGTACAGCTCGAGCATCCATCGCCAAGCTCCACTGTTCAGGGACCACGTTACCCAAGCCGAGATACAATTCTAGCTCTTGTCTAGAGACATCAGTGGGCCCTGGCCTGCAACCCTCTTTGGCCCTTTGGCTTCAGCTCTCTGGCAGGCATCTCCATCTGCTGCTTTCAGCCTTCAACTCTCTCTAGCCCTTTCTGGCCAGGGCTCTCTAGCCTGGGGAAGTTTATAGGTAATTCCCCCTCCCCCGTTCTGCTTTCTTGCCTTCTGCTTTCACTAGCCTGATTTGACTTCACTGCTCAACTGGGCCATCTCACTACCCCTTCCTTCAGGGGCATCCCCCTTCCTGAAGCTGTCAACCCAGCTCTGCTCTTCCTCTAAGCTCTCTCTGGACTCAGGGTTCTGAACACCCTTTTGGCTTTGGTCTGTCTTTTATTTATAACAACTCCCGAGGCAACCCCACCCTCCTCATATTATCAAACGAGGACACGCTTGGACTGAAACAGGAGAACTGGGCCTGATTTAATTCAAGGGGTGAACTACCCTGTTAAAGTGCCCCTGCTATAGATTACACAAAAAATGAATTTAGCAACCTCAGGTCATGAAGAAGAAAAGATAAGACACAAATTATATTAGTAAATGCTGTTATTTTGAACCTTCATGTAAAAAAGTTGTAAATAACTTCAGGTTCTTTTTCAAGTGATTGTCCCTATTATATTCCACTGTGGGTTATGCATGTGCAGCATCAGCCTGGAGCCAGAAATTTTGAAAGTAGTGATGGTTGTTCTACGTGTGAGCCTGGCTCACCTCGTGCCTCCGATGGAGGGGTAAAGGGAAAGGCAGACTGTTCGCTTCTCCAGTTCCTTCTCGTCACCTCATGGTCCAGGTCAGAACCCTTAGTGTCTGCAGTTTCGACTTCACCTACAAACAATAAAGAACCTTATTGTAAATAGTTATCAGTCTTAATCGTTTATAGTTTTAGCCGTTTTAACAGTAGTTTTAGTATTAGATTAGACTTCATCAGGGTAACCCTAAATTCTGTCACCACAGGGGTGTACCTGCTCATGGACAGCTTTCAGACCATAACAATATCATAGCTCACATCACACGCAACCTTCAGATACTGGTCAAAACACGTCTGTCCCTACTAGGTCACATGACCTGTGAACATATATCACGCTGTTCTCAAGTCTCCACTGTTGTTGCCTTCAAACTTGGCTATAGTCAGTATACTCCCCAAGGCATCATTCCATGAACCCCATGATACAGTTCCAGCCAAGGTACTGTCCTCCCTGTTATGGTGGACAAATTCCTCAGCAGGTATGTGTGGGGGTCCCCTTTCTCTCCAGACAGGATCATTGTTACAGACACATCCCAACTAGGTTGGGGAGAGCACAGGAACAACCACAGAGCACACGGGACTTAGACATCTCGAGAGGCCAGGGTGCACATCAATATCCTGGAACTACGGACAGTATGGAAGGTGTGCAAGTCTTTTTTTTCCATCAGCGCTCACCATGTCCTTATGTCGGACAACACTACAATTATCTTCTACATCAACAAGCAAGGGGAAGCGATGTCTGCCTCCCTGGGTGCAGTGGCAGACAGCCCCTGGAACTGGTGCTTCAGCACCCTACGAGCAGCCTACCTTCCGGGAAAGCAGAATATGCTTGCAGACTCCTTCAGCAGACATTTTGCATTTGACCATGAGTGGGAGCTTCATGATGCAGTACTCCGCAACATTTTTACTCTATGGGGAACCCCAGCCAGGGATCTACTTGCTTCTCAAGCAAACAGCACATGCACCACATATTGCTTCAGAGGAGCCCATGGTCATCACTGCCAGGACGATGCTCTGCTTTTTACTTGGTCAGACCATTTCAACTATGCGTTCCCACTGCTACCGCTCCTACCATGAGTCGTATGCAAGATCCAGCAGGACAGAGAGAGGGTCATCCTGATCGCCCCCTTCTGGCCCAGACAGTTCTGATTTCCCAACCTCCTAGCGTGTCATCCTGCCAACCAGTCATCCTTCCAAAGTTCCCTGAGCTACTTACCCAGTGGAACAGCAAGATCAAACACCCCAATCCATGGCAGCTCCACCTCAGGGCCTGACATTTGGATGGGGAGCATCCTTAGAATGTTCTTGCTCTTCAGCTGTATGAGACATTCTCTCTAATAGTAGAAAGGAGTCTTCTAGAAAACGTTACCTAGCTAAATGGAAATGCTTTTCGTCTTGGACACAACAAAGAGGCCTTCTACCAGAAACTATGGATATTCCTCTCATCTTAGACTATATCCTATGCATGAAAACATCAGGTTTATCCATCAGCACTTAGGAATCCAGTTGGCGGTGATCATGTATGCCATCCACCTTCTCAAGGCTACTCAGTTTTTGCACACCCACTGACCATAAGATTCTGGAAAGGTTTAATAAGAACCTTCCCACCTGTTCAGAAGCGCCCCAGTGGGATCTGAATCTCATTCTCTCAGTGCTAACAAGGCTCCCCTTTGAGCCTTTAGCTACTTGTTCCATGTCCCTCCTTTCCATCAAAGTCGTCTTTCTCGTAGCTATCACATCAGCGAGAGGGTTGGTGAACTTGGAGCAATGATGGCAGAACCTCCATACACAGTATCCCATAAGGATAAGGTTTCTTTACATCTACACCCCAAATTAATCCCTAACATAGTTTTGGAATTTTACCTTAACCAATCCATTCACTTACCTGTGTTCTTCCTGAAACCACATTCTTCTGCAGAAGAATGAAGACTCCACTCCCTTGATGTTCGATGAACGTTATTTTTTTACCTGCAGAGAACACAACCAATCAGGAAATCCCTGAGACTGTTTGTTACTGTAGCAGAAGGAGTCAAGGCATGCCATCTTCACCCAGGGAATCTCCAAATGGATAACTGGTTGCATTCTACTCCTGCTGTCAGCTCTCAAAAGTCCTCCTAGACATTTGCAAAGTGGCCTCATGGAGTTCCATTCACACATTTGCAAGGGATTATGCCCTGTTGCAGGACTCTTCTGCTGATCCTCCTTTGGGATGCCGGTACTCATCCTTGCACCCTCCTCCTATTTAGGTACTGCTTGTCAATCACCCACAGTGGAATACAGTAGGGACCATCACTCAAAGAGGAGGAGGAGGAGGTTACTTACCTGTAACTGGAGGTTCTTTGAGATGTGTATCTGTATTCCACTACTTACCCTCCTTCCCCTCTGCTTTGGATCTTATCTGATTCACAGTAGAGAAGGAACTGGAAAAGCGATTGGTTCGCCCTGCCCTTTATCCCCTCAGTCGGAGGCATGAGCTGAGTCAGGGCATGTTCGCAGATCAAAGTACGCTACTTTTGAATTCCCCAGCCCCAGAGTATAGATAGGGACCACATGTCTTGAAGACCCTCCAGTTACAGATAAATAACCTCTTTTGGTGAATGGGTGGGAAGAGATAAAGTGGATTAAAGTCTTATAGAATGTTTTCATTATTTCTTTGCCTTAACCTTTCTGTATACATTGTTTTACAACTAAATGTGATTTTATTGTAAATATTAATATGAGGACACATAAACCTAGGCCCTGAGTTGTAATGCTTCTGTTACTTGATACACACAAGATTATAAATGGTCAACTTTTATAAATTTGTGTTACTGTTTCTGTGGGCCTTCATTAAATTCTGGAGAACACTAAGTATTTATTCCAATCTTTGAAAAATCTTAACTCCTTTTACTCTTTGATATAATAGTTGGCAAATTTGGTGCTGGTTAAAAGCTCCAGATTGACATCTGTGGAAAATGAAGCCCTATGTTTGTCAACAGTTACAGAAAGTACAACACAACTAGCAGCATCACAAATCATTCTAATGCAGTTCAACCTTGTTCTGTTGAAAGGCCCTGCCAATTCATCACTTTGCTGCCTGTTGAGTCTACTAAAAAGCATGTAGGTAATGTTACTTTTTGTTACATGATCATCTCTCTACTAGGAATGGAAATGAGACTACCCAATTGCCAGTATTTTTTTGTAACTTTGGTCACTGTTTACTTGGGTTGGATTTGAAGTGGCCTACAGGTGAAAAGCTCAGAATCATATCACTGTGACCATGAACCATCCACTTCCCTACTGGTATCTTTTCCTAAATCCTCAGAGCAGTTGTTTTGCAGTACCTAAACATCTACATAGTATAGGTAATTTCATCTGTCTACTCAGCAGTTGGAGTTAGATGAGCACTAAAGAAATTTCTGAGAAAAAACAACAACCAAGTGATGGGTATTTTATAACTAACGCATATGTCATAAATATGTTTAGGACATAAACATCAGTCTCTTATGATAACTCCAGGTACGGTAGTCCAGAAGATCAGCTTTCTATTCCTTTGGTAAATTGTGATAGCCTAACACACATCTAATGCACAGTCTCTACTATGATTTATACTTCGGTGCAAAGCGTGACACCAAGTTAGCTCTATTGCCCGAAAATGGAGTATTCTTTAAATTAAGGGAGATACATATTGAGTGAAAAACTAAGCACAGTGCATCAGACTAACGTTTATAAATATATAACTGTGGGGGATTCATACTTTCAAGCTTAATAAGTACCTCAGTAACCTAGTATTCTTGTTTTTCCTTTTATAGTTTTACATGTGGTACATATAAAAAATGAGGCTGAGAACGCGGAAGGCTTCTCAGCAGTCAAATCAAATTCACACCCAGCGTGCTTTGAGAGCAAAGAGGAAACATTCAGAGGTAGACGAGAGCTTACCTGTTGGAGGAGGAAAACCACAGAAGAATGAAACCGGTCTGTTGTCATCAATCAAAAAATTTATTAAAGGAAGCACGCCCAAGGTATGAGCTCAGTGTTTTGTTGCTTTTTTTAAAAAAATTTGAGTCATATTAGTTTTTTCTAAAATTTGATCAAGTATTGTATTAAGAAGAATAAGAATTTGTAAAAGGCATGTTCTATGGAGGCAGAACAGCTTTATAAACAATAGAATACAAAAATTGCCCCATAATAGTTGTGTGTGAATGCAGATATAGAAGTTAAATTGCAAAGTTGCTGACACTGTCCGGCTATAAAACAATTACAGACGTTTATGATAGTGCCATAAGTTTGAGGATTTAGTATCAGATGTTCCATTGGAGAAATAAGAAAAGTTGCCTTATAAATACAAGAAGCCAAATTCAGCTATAGTATAATCAGGTATAATTTCCGTGTGCCTCAGTGAATTTTGTATCTACTTATCGCACCTTAGACATGAAGTTTCAGGGCTAAATTACTTGAATCTTTTCAAACTCTGTCTAGGCACAGATCTGAAGCCACAAAGATTTTCATATTAAAACCTGCTCAGTTCAAATTCTTAGGGGAAGATTATATACAGTACGTTACTTTTATTGAGTGAGTGCCACTTTGAAATAGTTTTCAAAATTGCTATTTTTATTGTTTTTTTTTAAAAGATGGTCTGATTTTATAAAACCTTTCTTCAGTCAGTGTTATCAGTCAGAAGTTCTGATATTGCCATTTTAAAACCGTAGATATTAAAAGAAGAACAAGAGCCAGGATGCCAGAAACATACAAAGATGTTTCAGAGAAATACATGGCAGATAAATGAAGTTTAGATCAGAAAATAGTGTTTTAGTGTTAAAGTGAAGTGTTAAAAATGGCAGCTTTATAATTTTGCATTATAGTTAAAATAATATGTAAAGATGCAGTGAAGTTTAAAAAATTCTAATCAAATTGTCTCCGAAAGCTGGGTGACTAGGAAACAAAATGGCAGATGTAATTCAGTGTTGATAAGTGTAAAGTAATGCACATTAGAAAACATCATCCCAACTATATATATAAAATGTTTGGTTCTAAAGTAGCTGTTACCACTTGAGAAACAGATCTGGGAGTCATCGTGGATAGTTCTCTGAAAGTATCTGCTCATCTACAGCGGCAGTCAAAAAAAGAGTGTTAGGAACCATTAGAAAAGAGAGAGAGAGTAAGACAGAAAATATCATAATGCTACTATATAAATCCATGGTACCCCCACACCTTGTGTACTGCATGCAGTTCTGGTCGCCCCATCTCAGAAAAGATGCATTAGAAATGGAAAAGGCACAGGAAGGGCATAAAAATGACTAGGGGTATGGAACAACTTCCATATGAGGCGAGATTAAAAAACCTGGGACCATTCATTTTAGGAAAGAGATGACTAAGTGGGGAAATGTTAGAGATCTATAAAATCATGAGTGGTTTGGAGAAAGTGAATAAGGAAGTGTTGTTTACCCTTTCACATATCACAATAACCAGGGGTCACCCAATGAAATTAATCATCAGCAGGTTTAAAACAAACATAAGGAAATACTTCTTCATACAATGCACAGTCAAACTGTGGAACTTTGTTTCCAGGTGATACTGTGAAGGCCAAAAATATAACTGGCTTCAAAAAAGAATTACATAAGTTCCTGGAGGATAGGTCCATCAATGACTATTAGTCATGGTCTGGGTGTCCCTAAATCTCTGACTGCCAGAAATTGGGACTAGACCACAGGAAATGGATCACTTGAAATGGTCCAGTTCTTTCAATTCCCTATGAAGCATCTGGCACTGACCAGGATACTGGACTAATTGGACCATTGATTTCACCCAGTATAGCTATTCTTATGTTCTTAGATACCATGCAACTCAATGTGTTTTAGGAATTTGTTCAGCAGGATTTAGGCACTGACTTAAAGGAACTGTAAAAATTATGTATATGTTAAAATTTTTCTTTACCTGTGGAAAATTGTGTATTGTTAAAACTGTTTAAATTTTGCATATCACTAAACTCAGGCAATAAATTGATTTCACTTTCTGACTCCTATGCTCTAGCATAGGGATCTCAAACTCAAATCACCACGAGGGCCACATGAGGACTAGTACATTGGCCCGAGGGCCGCATTACTGAAATCTTTTCATACAAATATACAAAAGCCCTCCCTGCCCCTGGCCTTGCTCCCACTCCACCCCTTCCATGAGGCCATGCCCCTGCCCTGCCTCTTCCCACCCCATTCCCCACCACCATTCCAACCCCTTCCCCAAAGTCTCCGCCCCCTCCCTGCCCCTATTCTAAGCCCATCCCCGCCCCACCTCTTCTCCGCCTCCTCCCCTGGGCACGCTGCGTCCCTGCTCCTCCCCGCTCCCTCCTGGAAAGTCCTAAGCGCCACCAAACAGCTGTTTGGCGGCAGGAAGCACTGGGAGGTAGGCGGAGGAGCGAGGACGCGGCGCGCTGGCGGGGAGGCGGGGGAGGGGGAGCTTGGCTGCCTGCCGGTGGAGTCAGCACCTATGGCGGGCCACAGGAAATAACTCCGCAGGCCGCGTGTTTGAGACCCTTGTTCTAGCACAAAGCAAAATACTTTAGGTTGCAAACACTTCAGGGAAATGGTTAAGTCCAAACAAAAACAGTTTTCATTGGAATTTAAAAAATAAATGGGGAGATTTCTGATGATTTAGGTTTTGTAAAATCCCCCCTATCCCTTTTTTAATCTTAAATTTTCATCCTAAATTTTATCTTCACAGCTTCCCTTTAAATATAAAATTCCATGTTTTTCATATATATTGTCTTTCTTGTCTTCTGTGTCCAGAACAGCACTTGTAGTGGTCCCAGTGGCATTAACATGCATGCTATTGAGTGATATTGCTGGGCTATACTGCAAAGCTCTCATGACAACACAAAGTAGTCTTGTGGTTACCATGGTAACATCAGAACTCTTTCAGGTGGTATGTGTGTTATATTATACAATAGTTCTGTTACCTGTATATTATAATATAAATTAAGAGAGAGATTGTGTGGATCTGTGACAGTAAATGTATAGCAACATATACTTTAAAATTTACTAATTCTGACATCAGAGTCATAGTCCATCACTCTGACATCACAGTGATGGCTTGTGGGGGTGGGTCTTTAAACCCCCCCCCCCAAAAAAAGTTCAAGCTATTTACTTACATAAAAGTAACTAAAATATGGTCAATAAAATTCTGATGACATTGAGCCTTATCTTATAAGCTACATAATGCTCTCAACTCCCATTTAAGTCAATAGATAGAGTTAGTATGCCTGTTTTAAAGTTAATATCAGAGTTACAGCCCACCAGTCTGATATCATAGAGAAACTAATACAGATAAGGATGTAGTTTAGATCAGGTACCTTGCAGGACTGATCCCTGTTTAATAAGCATTTTTAACAGTTTGTAAGAAGTTTAACAAAGTGGGGTTTTTTAATGATATACACATCCAGTGATATTTTTTAAAAAGTTTTAAAACTTGAAACATTACAACACATTGACTGAAGTAAGTTATACCAAACTTATTTAATTTGTGGGTTCTGGTAACATCATAAATTACACTATCTTTGCTTTTCTGACTTGCAGTGCATCCTCTCCTTTGGAATCATTGCAACCCATTCATTAACTTGCATTTTTATTCCAGGGTTTCTGAAAAATCTAAAAATCAGACATCCTATTGATATCAGTGTGATATTGCCATATTAGTTTCAGTATGATGCAATTAGTAATACTAATTGGATATATTTGGCGTATTGATTTAAACAGAAATCTTTACGGTAGAAATTTACTGATATAAAGCACATAGAACAATGATCTAATATTGTGCAATTTTATTCTTGAGTGCTGTTGACAGACACTTAACTCCACTTTTATGGATTGTGATTTTGCCAGAACCCCTCTTGTTCATTGGCTTTTCTTTCCTTATTATATTTATTTGTATTGCTGCTTTTAGTTTTTTCTCTGGGTATTTTATTTTAATTCTTCTTCATCAAATAAATATCTTTTAGAAGTAGTGGAGTTTTCTTTTGGCCTTTCTTACAAGAAAAGGAAAGATGTCTCTACAGTTTGGGTTTTAACTTTTTAGTAAACGTAATGCTCCTGAGAGATGCCAGATTGACAGTCCTGGAGACTGAAATCCTTTTTTTACAGAACAGTTACAGCAAGGGCAGCAGCAGTGGTAGCTTCCCCACACCACTGTGATCTATTCTTTTGGAGGGACCACCTCTAGGATGAAAGGGTAGTTCAGTCTCCATACTCATTCAATTATTTGCCTCTCTGCTGAGTCTATCAACAGGAATTCCAGTAGGTGCCAGTCATGATAGTGGTTTTTGTGATGATTCTGTATCTGTCCACTAGGAACTGGAATGAGAACACCAGTGCTTTTCAGTTAGAACTGAATAGCCTTCAGGTGGTAATGGCTTTCTGTCATTCTTACCTGAGCTAAATTTGAACTAGTGACCTGGAAGGTAAAAGGCCTTAGTTTCTTTTCCAGTCCACTGAGCCATCTAGTTTCTCAATCTCTGCAGTTGTATTGCTCAAAGATTTAGAGTTTGCCTGTACATATACAGTACTGTCCATTGGAGAAAGCAGGAGATCACAGGAACTCCCAGTTATTTTCAGTGGGAGGCTTGTGGGACCAATGAAGGGGGGGAGGAGGGAGCGGAGGGAGGAAAAAACACACACACACGACAAAGAAAATGTACAAAAAGCTTTGCTTCCATGAGAGCCAAATAATATATGAGTCATCATAAGAGGCCAAGTCATCTTACCCTAAGGTAACAAAAAACAATGGAACATGACCCTTAACTTTTAACATTTTTGACTCCTATTTTTTGTCATAGGCCTGGACACAGTTAGTTCTGAATATGTAGTGTGAATAACTGTACAATTCTTGTATCATGAAGTATAGCAAGATTCTGTATTGTAGCAGACACTATATTTCATAATATTAAGTAAGGATGGTCACAAATGAAGGATTTTATATTGGGTTTCGTTATGTACTTTGCTTCCTGTGTGTGCTAGGATCCAAAGAAAGCAAGTCACAGTTAATTTTAGTCATCAGATTTATATGTTAATTCAACCAGTATGGCATGCCATTTGTTTAATGTCATTACCCTTAATATTTACAGATCTGTTCTTCAGGGGAAAAAAAACCTGAAGAAAGTTTTTCTACAACAGAAATTGCATATACAGTTTTCTTGCCCAGTACTCCACTTTTTACATTAATTTCTGACATTTTGGGGGAGTTTGAAATTCCAGATATGTATATCTCCTCATTTCCAGGTGAGGAATGTGCAGTATATTTATATATAGATATATTCTGCACATTGCTCACCTGGAAGTGAGGATCAATAAAAGGACCTTTTGTAGAATTTTCTGGTGTATTTAGTGGAAGAAAAGACACTATTCAGTGTGTATTTTTCCTTTTCTGTTTTAAGGAAGAAAGAGAAAATCCTGCAAAGAGAAGTAGAATTGAACGTGACATAGATAACAACTTGATTTCTTCCACACCTCGAACAGGAGAAAAGCCTAACAAACAGATCTCTCGAGTAAGACGGAAAAGTCAAGTAAATGGAGGTTTGTAAATATTCCATAGCTATATTAATAGGACAGAGTTAGAGGCTCAAGATCTAATACTTGTATGGTGACACATTAATACAGGGCTTGACTCTGCCCTGTTGGAGTAAATGCGAATTTTGCCATTAACGTCAGTGGGAGCAGAGTTGGACCCACAGTATCTGAAATGTTCTTTCCTGGAGAGTAATTGTAAGTATACGGGGGTTGGATGAGACTGAGAAACAATCTGATGAATATGTTTTTTCTTTTTAAGAACCATTCAGTTATGGGGAAACCACCACATATCTTGGAACTACTTATCCATAGTATTCTCCACTCAGAAAGGCAAGTGGATACTTAGTGATGTGAAATTGCTCCTCTTCACAGTGTTTTACAAACAAGTGAAATGTCATTCCATAGCAGGTGGTTTGTATGAGAATCATTCCACTTTCCAGGTGCTGAAGGCACTTGGTCAAATAAGTGCAAGAAATGGAATTCTTTCACAAATGCACACACGGGCATGTATTATTCTGTGCTTATAGTAATGCCAATTTTAAAATGTAAAATTTACATTCATATTTTAACATCCTTAGCCACCTCTGCTGTTCTAGCCCTAATCCACTCCATAAAGTCAGGCTTCCAACTTTAAACAGGGTTCCCACTGAACTCAGAACTTAAAATCTCTTCCCCCCCCCCCTTTTTTTTTATTGAAAAGCAAATCCAGAAGTGTTTTGTTCTTTGGATTACTTAAAACATTTTAAAGGTTTGTTGAATAGCTTAGTGATCTGGTTGATAGATAGACTTTCTATTTTCAACTTGTGTGTTTATTGAGATAATTACATGACTTGGAATTCTTTGTCAGCTGATCAGACTGCAGCTTTCAAGCTATTTTCTAACTTGCCGTGACTTGTCTGGGGCAGTAACAAAGGAATGTTCTATTTTCAGAGAATGCAGGGATTATTCAGTGCAAAATTTTCTTAATGAACTCATTATTTTACATCAATTGAGTACAAGTTCTTATATTTGACAAGAAAAATAGTTGTATAAAGAATAATGTGTTCTTAATTACCTAGTAAAGCAATAATTCCATCATTGGAAACTGGTGATAATGACCTAAACCATGAATCCTATCTTAGACCAGAATAGTCAGTTTGTCACTAGTATCCCAAAATGAAATTACTTTAATGGGTTTTGGATTGAGTTGATAATACATAGGTTGAGTAAAACAGTTTATTTTTGTAGTTGTGTTTCATCGTCCTTGTCCCTGTTCTTACTTCTTCCCCTTCTCCCCCACTTTTTTTGGTATCTTAGATTCCCTTTGTCCTCCTTCCTTCCTTCCTTCCTCTCTCTCTCTCTCTCTCTCTCAGGACAGCTTGCATTGATGGCTGCGAGGTTGGCTGTGATCTGTTTATCAGCCATTCAGATGCAACATGGATTTACCTGTAGAAGTTTCTTAAAATGTGCTGTCAACTGTCCTTTGGTGAACAGATCAACTAAATGTCTGCTAGGGAATTATGATTTTTCCCTACTCCTTTCAAAGAGTCGAGTGATGGTGTTCTGATATTCAATGGCTGTACAAGAGGTCTTGTTTCCAAACAGAAAGACATACCTAGTTAAATGGAAATGCTTCTCATAGTGGAGTCATGTTCACCACTTGGACTCTTCTGTTCAGAATATAATGGACTACTTATTGTCTTTGAAACACTCAGGATTCTTATTTAGTTCTGTTAGAGTTCATCTAGTTGCACTATCAGCAGATCTCCTGCTAGAGGCAGGTCATTTGATTTTCTCTGACCCAGTGTGTCTAAATTTTTTAATGGCCTGATTCATGCATTTCCAGCATTTAAAGAGCTTTTCCCTATCTGGGACTTGAATATAGGACTTGCATCTTTTTTGAACGCATGTCATAATGTTCTTTATGTCACTTTTCTGTTAAGACAATGTTTTTGAAAGCCATCACATCAGCTCTCACAGTGACTGAAATACAGGCTGTGATGACTAGCCCGCCATATGCTGTGTTTCATAAGGACAGAGTCACTTTCAAGCTGGATCAGAAATGTTTACCAAATGGGATTTTGGAATTCCATATAAACCAGTTCATATGCTTACCAATATTTTTTCCTAAACCTCATGACTTTCTTATAGAGGTTAAACTCCACATGCTGGATGTTTCTAGGGCTATACCTTTTTATTTATCCAGGTCAAAGCCATTCTCTAAATTGGCTAGACCGACTTGTTACCAAAAGTCACATATAAAGGGGCCAACTCTGTCATATCAGAGACTCTATATGGGTGGTGGATTGTGTTAAGATTTCCTGTTCATTAAACAAACTACCCCTTCCTTGTCGAGTCAGGGCACATTCAGTCAACATCTGTAGCTTGTTTCGGGGAGTCCCTGTTTTTGAGATTTGTTAGAACAGCTGCTAAGAATTTGGTTCATATATTTATCAATCGCTACTCCTCTGTGACAGTTTCTAGATCAGATGCCCTGTTGGGCAGAGGTGTCTCAGTAATTTAGATAAGACTCCTGTTTCCTTAAGGGGTAACTGCTAGTCAGTCACCTATAGTGGGATCCATGTGGACAAATGCTAAAAGCAGAGGTTATTTATGTTACAGTAACTGGAGTTCTTCAAGATGCCTTTGTCCACATGGATTCAACCGCAGGTATGTGCACCTCATACATGCGCATTTGGAATCTTTTAGCCAGCAGTATCCGTCGGGCTGCATATGTGCCTGGGATGCCCTCACAC